TGTTCTCACATAAACCTTTTCTCTCTGAGCTCATTCTCAGCAATATCTATTTTTTTTACTACTAACTGTTGATGTGTTTTCAGTGGCAGTTTAGTAACAGTCTGTTTAACTGCAAGTGCAGAACAACTTCATAGAATTTAACACATTTTATGAACCACAGATTAAACTCAAATGTTCTAACAGTGTTTTCTTTTTCTACTTCAGATCAGTGTTGAAGTATGTTTCTTTGCTTTATGTTTTGTTTTTTGTGTTTTTTTTTTTAATCTTGTTTGCTTGAGGATAATGTATGTGGTAAAGGGCTGGACTTGTGTAATTTGTTCATTAAAAAAAGTATGTAACCAATCTATATTACATTTTAAAGTATTGGTTAGTTAAGCATAAGTGCTGGCTTCCACTTAGGGTATATTCAGCTTTCTATACTGAAACACCACTTTGCCTGTCTAAATTAATATATTCTTACATATGCATAGTAGTCAAAATGAATATGCCACCTTGGCACTGCAGATTTCCCTGAAAGTTGTTACAGGAATAAAAAAAAATTAATATTGTAAATATCATGTTTCTATTTTGATCATATATATCATCTTATATGTCATCGTTTTAGCTTAAACAGAGTTATTGGGGCGTCAGCTGAAATTTAGCAGGTTTAATTAATATTCTAAAATGTAGGCTAATATTAGAAGATTCTGCCAAAAAAAAACAGTCTCTCCATTTTGTTTTCCTGAGTACGGCTGGAGTTGAGGCATTTCAAAAGAATTTTTGTCTCTCCACAGATCTTTCAGTGCGCAGAAGCTGTGTTACTATGCTGACAGACTCCACCGACTCAAGGAAACATGTAAAATGAAATGCTTTCTGTATTAGTGCCATACAGTTCTGTGATTCAGAGAGCGGTTTGCAATTTCCAAAAAGCATCCCAACATGCTTCAGTGCTTCACCTCTGGATTGATCCAGAGTTCAAAAAACACATTCATCAAAAGCAGAGAAAGCCGAAAGCCAAAAGTTGAATCCCTGGGTTTGTCATACAGTACTCTTTATACTTCCTTTGCATTTGAGGATCTGCTACATATAATTTCTCCTTGATGTTGGAAGAAGTGATGCTCTTAAACTGTATCCAATGAGTGGAGCAGACAGTATGTGGTATCTGGGGAAAAATTCTTGCTAACAGTAGTCCAAGAAGGCTGTTCATTACACAAGCTTTCACTGATTGAAATCATTCAAACATTTGTAACTGTCCTTTTCTATTAGAGCAAGAGCTAAGAAGAGCAGGGCTTTGCTCTTGCTGCTCACAGGATTTTATGAACTTTTACTAACAGTGAATCCAAGTACATCACTTTGTTTTTGTAACTCATTCTTCAGTGATATTATGATCTTATGAAATTAAAGGGCTCTTGCCAAAGGTAGGTGTAGGGAATCTGGCTCATTAATGTTTTGCAATAAAAAGAAAACCCTCTGGAGTTTGCAAGAAGACCTGGCCTCCCAGACTAGAAATGGGGTGACCTTTTTATTATTGAAAGTACTTTTCTAAAATCCCTGGATTTCATCAGAAGAATAAAGCTAATTGTCTTTCCTCTCGTGGATTGATTCAGTTCCAGGACAGAAAAATCACCTCTAGCTGTCACAAAGCTATTAATGTTTCCTGGGTCATGCAAATTTTGAATTCTGTCTCTTTACTTTCAAAAAAAGATTTGCAACTCCCGTCTTGCTATGTGAGTCACTACCATTTTAATCCCTTCTTTTCAGGTCATTAATTTAATGTCAGTGCCTTTGAGAACATCGTATGTTTTGTGCCTTCTATTCCAAAATTAGTTTCTTGTCTTCTTCCCAGCAGGCTGCTGTCCCCTGTTGGTGCTCCCTGATGCAAAGGCATATCTTGCTATCTCTTGGACCTGCTTAGCTTCATTGTGTACTTCTGTGCTAACACCGTAGGTACTATCTTAAAAAGGAATGGTAGGGCAGCAGACAAAGTACCCTGATTTGTACATAAATGTAATGAGAATAACGCAGCTCCTGTGTATGCCGCATATATGATCCACTTTCTGCTTCTGGCCTGGGTCTCTCACTTCACTCTGCAGTTTCAAAATCTGTGCAATAGCAAGAATACAAGGCTCCACTGCAGTGCCCATGACCAGCCTTATGTCCCTAATGGTATCTCAAAGCTACCACAGGAAAAGATTTGTGTCTCTTTTTCCTTTGCTAGAGAAGCAACAGAGCATTTTGGAAGGTTTATCTTGCAGATTTAATATGCTAATACTCAAGTCCAAGAATTTTGCAAGTTGCCTTTGTTTATGACAGCCTTGTAGCTAACCGAGCCTTCTTAATGACTGGCAAATTATTCTTAGATTGGTTTAATGTCAGAGGCAGTTATTTGATACTTTCTAAATTATTTTAAATAGATAAAGAACCTAAGTAGTCCTGAAAATGGTGAGCGGGAGCTGTCAAGGAAACAATTTGCTATTGGAAACAGAGCATAATTAACTACCTTATTTAAATGACTTGACAGTAAGTTTTGGGAAGAGCTAAAAACAGGGGACTCTGCAGCAGCAGAGAGTCTATGCAATTGTAAGCGAGTGAGCTGTCTGCTTTCAGAGTGACCTTAATACAGAGAAATCAGCTTTGGGATAGAAACAAGAATAGTGGTCATTTGAAGGAAAATAAGGTCAGATTCACTACAGAGTTCATTAAACTGTTATGTCTTTTTGAATTTGGCCGGCAGCATCCTGCCTGTGGTATATTCCCCAACTAAAAACATCTATGTTAAATTCTTTACTGTCAATTCTTGCCTCAAGAGCAAGCAGCAATGTCACAGTCTGCCTGCTTCTCCATGTGGCCACACCAGGGTGATCATTGGAATAATAGTGAATGAGCATGACTCAGAAACATCTAACAGCCCTTACAAGCTTGCCCTTAGGGACTGGCTTACTAAGCTGAAAGCTGAAATCAGCCTGCCCTGCTAGATGTGGCACTGCACTCTACAGAAACAATTCTGCAGAACCAGGGGCTAAGTTCACAGTGTGACTGTTTGGCATTTAGTTATCGGTGAGATGTTAGGGCCTATTAGTATTGTTTAAACTCCAGTAGTGATCAAATGCAGTGCAGACATGGGAAGAGAGTCACAAGCTGAGCTCACAAACTAAAAGACAAAGTGAGGAAAAATAAAAACAGCATGTAAGCGTATACTTGGCAGTTAAATTCATCTGCTGGATATGAGATTATCTCAGACACACAGCTGGTTAGTTCCTTCTAAGTGTCACGGGTAAGGTTAGTCATTTTATGGCAGAAAGTAATCAGTGTGATTAAGCATGAGCTACCCCTGATCAATCCGTGCTGAGCATTCCCAGTCACATCCTTTGTCTTTCCAGCACCTGTTCATAGGAGAGTGCTCTGTGATTTTTCCAGGAAGCAAAGTGAGGAGCTGACTGGCCAAAAAGCTTGTAGATCCTCTGGTTGTCTCTCTTGCCCTTTGTGAAGATGAGTGCAACATTTGCCTTTCTCTCGTCAGCAGGAACCACGTTTAATCTCCATGACCTTTCAAAGATGATGGAGTGTCCTTGATACAAAAGTGATCTCTTTCAATACTCTTCAGTGCTGCACATAGTGTTCCATGGGTGTGATGTGTTCAGGAGAAGCAGCTGAAGTTGGTAAAATCATTCAGATTATGGGGGCATGGAGGACAGCATCTACTAGGGCTGCAATTCAGATTTCAGTTTTATTCTCTAGTATGAAGGAGCAGGAGCTGTAAGTCAAACTGAATTCCCATTTGTGAGAGATATAAGTATTACATCTTGCCAGAAAAGGATCCCATTACCACCTCACAGTCTACATGGATTCCATCTGCTTTACTTCTATTACTATTACTATGTCATCCCTTAGTTTTTTCAAATGTTTACCCCTATATCCTTTATAATTCAGGATTTGTTTTCACCCCTCCCCCTATGAGTGGCATGTTTTGCTCCTCTTCTGCCAGTCTGTGAATTCATTGTTTGCTGGCTGGCAAGGCACCAGTTCTAGGGTGACAGATGGGGGCAGACTGCAAACCAGGCAGTTGCTTCCCAGCCCGAATGATATTTTAATAAGCACAGAGAGGTGACAGAGGGAGAAGCTTCTCACTGGAATGACTGGCAGTTTTGTTTTCAGCCTGAAAGCGCTAATAGATGACTTTTGGCATCAATCCAAAAATACAAAACCAAAGAAACTAGAGGCAGAAAATCCCATTAGCTCCTAACTTACCCTCTTTTTTAAGGGTTGGAGAACATTTTTCTCTCTGGTCTATTCTCCAGATAGTGAATTGTTTCCTTGTTTCTTGTATTTAAGTTCTCTCTGAGGAATTCTATAATTTGGGAGACTTGCCTTTCCTTCTCTTTTTTCATTTTATTTACTTTCTCACTGTCTTCCTTCCTCCCTAAGCAACCCTTCTTCTTCTAGTTTCTTTACATTCTTCACAGATCCACAATGAAGTCTGCCTGAATAACAGGCCTTACCATCTTGGCTTCCAGCTTCTGCATCCTGTGAAACAGCTGCTGCAGTGCCAGGCAATAAGATCTGCATGGCAACCTCTAGAATGAATGTTCCCTTCTCCTTGCCCTTCAGCTGTATCTCAGTTGCATAATACAAGACCTGCGTAGGGCTTGCTTTCATCCTTGGTTTTAGGAATAAAAGTGCTACTGAATAGAGCTCTGGCAAAATCCTACCAAAATCTGAGATCCCTCTGCAGTGTGAGCAGCACAGTGTTTTGCAAACAAACTGTAAGATAGTGAGGCTTTCAGAGAAGAAGATTCTTTTTCTTCCTACAAGTACAGGAAAAAAAGGTCCAGCTATCCCTGGGAAAATATCAAAATGGTGCTGGGGTACGACTGAGATCCCATACATTGATCAGAGAACACGTTGAAAACTTCTTAGTATTTATTTGATGCCTACTTAGCAGGATTCAGATCTGTTTCAGATGGAGTACAAACTGGAAATTAATATGATTCCTGCTAAAATGTGGTTCTTCTTCTTTTCAGATACAATGATGGCACTGAAGGTTCAGATTCTGTTTGGCTTACTCTGGTGTGTGATTTTAATGCCTATAGATGGCTTCCCAGTAGACAGCAATACTGAATTTCGCTCTGCTTTCTCAGTGGCCAGAACCAGCAGCATGGAAGGGAGCTCTGAGATGGTCATTACCTTTGACAAAGTGTATGTGAACATTGGCAATGACTTTGATCCCAAGACCGGGTTGTTTCGGTGTCGTATTCCTGGAGCCTACTACTTCTCATTCACAGTTGGGAAATACCCAAAGAAAAACTTGTCTGTCATGCTGATGAGAAACAAGAATGAGGTGCAGGTGATTGTGTATGATGAACATCACCGAAAGGAACGGAAGGTAGCCAGCCAGAGTGCCATGCTGCAGCTTGACTATGGTGACACAGTCTGGCTGCGTTTACATGGAGACCCCAAGTATGCTCTTTACAGCAATGTAGGCCCCTATACAACTTTCAATGGCTATCTAATCTATCCAGACACTTCTGCCTTCTTCCAGAACGCTCTCAGCTCTCAAGAACTGGGGCCTCACCGTCACAATGTTCAGAAACTTCCAGGAGAGCAGAATGCAGCTTCACAGCGACATATGTTATCCGATCAGCCTAAGAAGGAACAAGACCCTCGCTCTGCATTTTCTGTTGCCCGCTCACAAAGTCTCCTGGGCACAGATGGCAAGCAAACCCAGCACGAGCCAATCACTTTTGACACGGAGTTTGTGAATATTGGGAAAGATTTCAATTCCTCCACTGGCATCTTCTCATGCCGTATACCTGGTGCATACTATTTCTCCTTCACCATTGGCAAAATGCCCTTTAAGACCATGTCAGTGAAACTTATGAAGAACCACAATGAGGTGCAGGCCATGATCTATGATGACAACCACTCCAAGAGGCGGGAGATGCAGAGCCAGAGCATCATGCTGCCTCTGCAGTACGGGGACACCGTCTGGCTCTACAGCCATCAGCATGATGGCTATGGTGCCTACAGCAACCATGGCAAGTACATCACCTTCACAGGCTTCCTGATCTATTCGGAGCCTCAGCCAAAGCGGCTCCCAGGTGCCAGCTCACTCCAAGGGTCAGAAAATTAAATGTGGATGTGAAAGGAGCATAAGAAAAGCCAGGGTGCCACGAACTTGGGTATAGCTCCTCTTTGGATATAGTCCTCTACTTTGAGCATGCTATCATGTGTACAGTGCTTTCTTTATGCTGCACGATTGTGCTCTGACTGCAGGGCCATTGCTGTGTCTGTCATTCATCCATAGAAAAGTCTGTACAGGAATGTATGTGTGTGTCCTGTGTTGGTGTTTGACTTAAGCATAAAGCATGAGGTAGTTTTGGGGCAGGGGTGGGGCAATGTAGTGAAATGCTGAGGATCAGGGAACACTGCAGTCATGTTACTGCAGATCTCTAGCATCCAGAAAGCGAAGGATGTGGTGACTTTCCTTGCATATATGGGAAGGAAATAAATGTAATAAAAAATACAAAAGGTGTAAAATTTCCTCAGGTTTGAATTTGTTGTTGCCTGTGAAACTTGTGTTCTTGTCACTGCCTGAAGTGTCAGCTCAAGAGAAAAAGCAGCACAGTGTACAAGCTGCAGTATTGTACATTCATGTGTGCAAAGTGTTGGTACCTTTTAGGGTTTTATTGGAAGTTTCATGGTATTTGATGCCTTTCTGAATCTGAACCTCCTGAATCAAGAAGAATGCACAAGAAAAGTGTTCAGTAATCTCATCTTCCATTTAATGAAAACAATACATTTAAGAAAAGAAAAGTCTACTTCTGTTTCTTGTGGTAAAGGATGAGGTCTCAAATCTAGGAATGACCCAACCTCTGAAACAAGATTGCTTAGAAACAAGGTAAGTAATAGGAATTTTAGAAGTACTTTTAAAAATCTAATATTTAGGTCATGACTTATATGTGAATAGTATTGTGCCATGCCTTGACATTAACTTCTTCAGAAAGTAACTCCTTGAACATATAAGGATATGGCTAAGGTTTATGCCGCACTGGTAACCTAGCACAAATGGGATCGAAGTTACCTCTAAGTGCCATGTTCAGCAGTTGTGTTCCAGTGGTTTCCTACAGGCTGTGTTCCGTCGAGCCGTATTGCTGCTGCAGTGGGACTGCTGTGGCTGTAGAGGGCACTGGTATGTTCCTAAAAGGCAGCAGTTGGGATTTAGGAAACCAGCAGGCTGGAAGCTTCAGCGCAGTGCGGTGAAGTGCTGCTGCAGTTGAGCACAGCTAAACCCTGGTTTGTCTCCTAAAATACACGGCAGAAATGCACCATCTTAAGCATGCCCGGAACTGTGTGATGTCCCCTGAGTTTAACTTGTAGGCTGCGCTCAACAAGTAGCAAAGCCCTTAAACTGACCTTAACAGCATCCTGAATTCAAAAGAGTACACTTGCATCTGCATCACCAAGCCAACCCCCTGGATCTTTACATGCAGCTCTGACTTTGCATTTTGCAGCAAGGCAGTATTTCCAGGCACTGCTACCATCCCAGCTCAGCCTTTTAATGCTGTTCTGTGCTCAAACTGGATGTGTTTGCAACCACTCCCTAGCTTTATCACACTGTATGCATCACAGACATTAAAGACTAAAGGTATGTTTGGGAAAAGGATGACTGGAGGTACACTAAAAAAAAAAAAAAAAGGCCAAAGAACACTGAGATAGGACACTATAAGACACTAGCTTCCTAGCTTCCTAGAAGCTACACTTCAAATATAATGATAATCTTAGTCCCTATACCTACATCCTTGGGGGGGGGGGGGAGGGGGAAGCTTTATGAATGGTGTAAATCTGTTCTGTAGCCTTTTGTAGCCCTAACCTGACCTCTAAAACCACTCTCTGTGTCTTCTTGCTTCCAGGCTTATTCCTGTCTCAGAAATACTATTTTGTCTTTCCATCTGCTGGGCAGCAGTGGCTTGGAGAAAAATAAACTAGGTCAAGAGCTAGCAGTTCCCTCCTTGAATGTCATACACCTCCTTTTTCAGCATGGAAAATTAAGAATGTACTGATAGAAAAGAAATTACAGATCCCACCATCTGCATGTGCAGTGAATACTCCAAATTAATGTGGCAGCAGGAAACCCAATAGAAACAAACAAAAAATCAAAACCCTCCTGTGTAGATGATCATATTTATTTAGTTCCACACAGCAATGTGTAAGATAGAGAAAGTTAAGTATCTCATTCTATAAAATAATTACGTTTCTGATTTTGAGTATAAGGATTGTGTGTTTGTTATGTTTGTCTTGTAAAGTGCCATAGCAGTACGGAAGAGAACTTCAGAAGAGATAAAATCTGCTGTAGAAATAACTAGGTCACTATCCTTGGGAATTTAAATGAGATATAAAAAGTATATTCCAAACTGCTGGCTGACACAAAGCAGTATACATATGTAAATATAATATACAAATACAGGGAAGCTTTGTAGAATACATGCAGTTTTGGTTGATCTTTTAAGAAAAATGAACACGTTATGTGGAAAATTACTTTGGGCACATAAAATGCGAATTGCATAACCAGGAAGCTGAAATTAAGTGCACTACCTGTATTGTGAAACACAGCAGCATCTGCTTAGCTGATTACTGGAGAGGAGAAAAAAGACTGCATTTGGCTGAAACCACAGAAGGAATAGAGGACGCCAAGCTGAATTATTCAAGATAAATTCTGCTAAGACACCAGTGTAACATCCTGGAAAAAACCTGCCAGGACAACTCCCTAGAAAGCATCAGTGATCAAGATAGATAACACTTCTAAATAGCACTGCCTACATCAGCCCAACCCACTTAAAAAAAAAACAAAAAAGGAAAAAAAAAAGGAAAGTGTGAGATGCAATTTTGAGTTATGTCCTGTTCTATCTAAAAATAAAATGTTGTGTATAAATACAGAGAGCTGGATGAGAGATGTGGCATATTTCTGCAAAGTCCAGAATAATGTGGAAGGATTGTCAGCATTTGAAACAGCCCAGATTGCAGCTGAGGTCAGATGCACACCTTCCCATGGTTGTTTCCTTTATTAAGTGTCTCTCTTGGTCCTGGCCAGATTAGAGCGATAAAAATGTTTCAGAGATGCTAAATGTGAAGGCTTTTCCTTCGAGGGCCAGGAAGCCAGGAGGAGGGTGGAATTTGCAGGGCAGAGCCCCTTGCACAGATCACGAAAGATTTCATCAGCTAACTGAGAGAAAAAACGGATCCAGAGATTTTTATCCAGACCCTGAACTGAGCGGATCTGATAGGCGCAGTAAACACTGGTGAAAAGCAGGCGGTCAAACTCTGTTAGAGGCAAAGAGCTATCAGTCTGTGAGTAATATCTCAGTTGCTGCTCAATCTCCATCGGTGTTTTGGGAACTTCACGCTCCAAGATCTGCATGAACCACCGTGCTGAGCGCAGGGAGGCCAGCTCTTCGTCCCGCAGCTGGATTGTCCCGTTGGCCTGAATGTCCAGCCTGCCCCAGAGCATCTGGAAGAGAAGAGCAGCACACGCATTGCAAAGCTTCCTGCTCGACCTCCGTCACTGCCAGCACCACACCCTTTCTCTGCCTGGCTCCATGCCTCGGCTTCCCCACGGAGCCCCATCCAGCCCTCGCCTCCCACCTGCATCTCCCAACACCGGCCCACCCCACAGAGGTGTTTTCCAGGCGTTCCCAAAATACAATGAGAACAGCGCACAACACGAGAGTTTTTAGGTGCAGGCAGATGGGAGCACAGGCACTGCAGTGCCCTGGAGACCTCTAACATGACGTCGGCGTCCTCTGGGCCGCGGTGGGGTGCGTTGGTGCTGGCATCGTCCCTGCTGTAAGGATGTTCATCTGCAAGACATCAGGCAGAGTTGGACACCACAAGATCATGGCCCTTCCCATTTATTCCTATCATTTGGTTGTCAATAAAGCCTTCAGTATTTCTGAGCTGGCACTTGCAGCTTGACAATTATGACAGATGCTGACCTCAGGATTTCAGTGAACAACGCAAGCATCACGAAAGAAGCAGAAGGGGTTAAGGGAGGAAAATTTGAGGTCTGGATATGATGACCTCCAGTCCTGCCATCATGGAGCTAAAGCATTGGGCTGCAAGGGGATTTGCTTTAGAAGACATCAAGGAAGCCCCTCACACTGAGCTGGGTGCAGCAGGAGGTGAGCAGATGGGTTGTGGCAATGGGTTTCTTTGTAGCTTTTGCAGGGAGAAAGAAATGCTGCCCAATGGGAAGAGTGCATGAGAAGGCTCCTAGAACTTCTGGTGGAAATAGTACTTGATGCTCACTCTGTTTTTTCATTTGTTCCTGAGCATCTGCCAGTGGCAGATGCAGATTATGAGGCTGTTCTCACATCCAGCTAGTTCCTTGCTGGGTCACCTAACCTCATTTATATGAGAATATTAGTAATAACCTCAATTATTAATATGAGAGTCACATTAATTCTAATATTTATTAAATCTTCTGATGATTTGAAGTTCTGCATTTATTTTACCTTTTCTTTTACTTTCTTTGTGAAAAAAATAAAAGAGGAGCCACGTGTTTCTTCAGCCCAGGACTGTGGGATGGAGGCTGCAGCTCCTCCCTTCTCCATGTTGATCTGTGTAGTCACAAGCCAGGACTCCCTTCTATGGATCCTTCGCTCCAGGAAAGATGATATATAAACTAGTATAAACTAGTGAGCTCTCTGACACTTATTTTTTTTTCTCCACTTTTATATGGAGGGAGGCTTTTCTATATTAAGAAAGAGGGAGAATATATACTGAGTACTCCAGAGTTAAGGTCAGCAGGTGCTTATGAAAAGCAGAAAAATGATTTCATATTGCATGTGCGTGATGACTACTCCCAAGCCCCACTTCCAACTTTCTGTATTTTCTAAAGCTTTTCAGAGAGATGTACAAGCTGACTGTGCACGCTGTCTCCACAGGCTGAGATTTGTTTCTCTGCACAGCTGCAGGCTCCCTGATCTGAACCACTTGAAGCTTTGGAATGTGAGCAGAGATGTAACTGCTCTTTCCTCTTCCTCCATGTGCCAGCAAAGCTTTTACACCATCTCAAAATTACTTTGTTGGGCTTCCCCTCTCAGCTAACTGATACACTAAATTCACAGAAACCTCTAATAAGAAACATCTGGCTGGCTTGTAAAGTCGGCGATAGCCGCGAAACTACTGTTGTTAATAAACATAACCAAAGCATAACAAATAATGTATTGAAATAGTTAGATACATGTAATTTGAAGATGGAAAAAAATGATCCCTTATTTACTTTTATCATTTCACAGTAGTTCTTTTTCCCAAAAAGCATCTAGAAAACCTGCAGACATCATTGCAGGAGCAGATTTTTTCAGTAGAGACCAAGAAAACCCTCCTCCTGTCATCAAAAATAGCAGCAGGTCTTCATCCTGCAGGTAGGCATTAATGTCTCTCTGCTGTACAAAAGCCAGCTAGGACTCCAGCTAACACGCCCTCTCCTACATCAGCACAGCTAGCTGATGCATTTGATCATATCTGCAGGCCAAGTGTAGTACTGCTGGAATGACACAAATATTTGCCAAGCCAAGAAGCTACAGCAACGAACGAACAGGTGCACTTCCTACCTGTTAGCCTCTGGGATCCAGCAAAGATGCACAGGATCAGCCAGGTGTTGAGCTGCACCTGGGCCATAGCAGCCGTGCCCAGTAATGGTTCACATCCCCTCTGCAGACTGTGCCGAGTCTGAAGTGAAAGCTGCTTGCTGTGGTGTCTCTCCTGGCTGCTTCTGATCCCAGCAGCCTCTGCTAAATAGATCCGCCTTTCTGTGTTTATGGTTGCAGCCCTGGGAAGGGCCTTGCAGCTGAACTTGCTAACCCCAAAGGATATTTTTCATCGTATTTTGGAAACTTGGAAGACTTTGATGTGAAGGTTTTGGCAGAGTTATTTGAGCTTCTCTTCCAAAAACTGATTTTCCACTGCAATTAATTATACAAAGCTATTTGTTTTAAGAACTTTCATTACGCATGATTGCCTCTGAAGAAGGGGGGACCTCTTGGTTCCTTTCTCCTCTGCACAGTGCCGTCCCATCTCCATGGAACTTCTCCACTCCTTGGCTTCATGTTCAGTTTTCCCATTTACAGAGTTTGAAAATCTGCACACAGTCCAGAAGTGTCACAAACAGATAAGGCCAGCAATCTGGGCAGATTCATTCTAGGGCTGTAGCAGCCAAAATATACAAGCAGGCAGAAGAAATGTTACTTGTTCAGCCCTGTAGCAAACCTTCAGAAGAGGATACTCAGTATACAGCAAGGATGGGAGTCAGTTAGGCTTTAGCACCTCGTCATCCTCTTCTGTGACTTCTGGGTTACAATGAGCAAGGTCTGCTTTAGGTGTTGAGAATTACCCAGGTGAAACTTCATCTGATTCCCTTTGCAGAAGATAGCTGTGCTGTACCCATCTTTGCACTTCTGTTACTGCCTCACTCAGGATATTGCGTATTTCTACTCTGTATGGCACAGTATTGTTCCAGGATCACCAACAGGTACCTGCATAGTTAGGGTCGTACGAATCAGTCATAAGTATAGTTAAGTAATAGTGCCATCTCACTCAAGTTACATATGTCTTTTGGGGAAATATCACCAGGTAGTTTATGAGATGACCTTCCACTTAATAAATTGACAATTAAGACAAATTGTGCAAACCACGCAGCCAGACTTTTGAAATTTCCAGTGTCTGCAGCTATACCAATCAATATGTGGGCTTACAGCAACTATGAAAAAAAGCACAGATTTATTAAGAGAGTAGGGGACCTCAATATCCAGGGCCGTTTCTCCCCCATTTGCATCAAAGTAAAACTTGTATTTCTGTCACAGCCCTGGCTGTCTTACAGCTAAACAATGCTTCTTTCAGTTTGCATTATTTTCTGCTGCTTCCTCTTTAGCATTCCTTTATTCTGGCATGAGATATCTTTTACTAAACTGTAAATAGCATTGCTACTCAAGAGATAGACTCTGATGTCCCATTTGTGCAGTGAGATTGATGTGCCTTCTGAATCCTTTAAAATCCACTGTGTTCACATAACTGTCTAGAAGTTACTTTGCCAAAACAAATAAACAAACAAACAACAAAAAAAAGCCACCAACAATGCTGCATCTTTTGGGACATGAAATAACCTCTTTTCAGCATGCATCTGTGGTGTTTTGCAATACCTGACAAAGCAGTCATCCAGAACTTTGGCCAACATCTGCATAAGTTATATTTGATCTCGTCAACAGGAATATGTTGCATGCAGCTGAAGTATCTACAAAAAGATAGTCATGTTGGTGGGAGGAAGGAGAGAGAAGGCCCATAGACTGCGTTCAGATGACTGATCCAGCAGCAGGTAGGAGGTGGTAGCATAGGTAGTGTTTGTTGCCTTCAGCTGGGGGAGTTTTGCAGAATTGCCTCACTATCCCACAGAGAAAGACAACTGCAGTTAGGATAAACATGTGCCTTAGGTGTTTGTAAACCAGCGGTAGTTATATGGGATGTGCTCCGAAGCAAGCAGGTGATCCTGACAGTTGAACATAGTCCCTGCCTGTGCAAATGCAATGTTAGGTGGTACATCTGCTCCTCCTGAGGGATTGTGTCCTTGCCAGCTATTCACAGCTGAATGTGCACAGTGCTGTTCCTCCACATGCCCTCTGGTCAGGCCATCTGTCACAGGAGCAGTTTCAGAATGTCAGATTACTTCAGGGACACCTTGGCTGATTGTGGCATTTACACAATGATCTTCTCAATCTGGGAGGTGGGAAAGGGAAAAAGGATATAGTCATAGAACCATGGAATTTCCTGGGTTGGAAGAGTCCCACAATGATTATTGAGTCCTACTCCTCACTGCACAGGACCACCCAAAATTCAAGCTCTATGACTGAGAGCATTGTCCAAATTCTTCTTGAACTCCAACTTAGGGCCATTACCACTGCCCTGTGGTACTTTTTCAGTGCCCAACCACCCTCTGGTGAAGAACCTTTCCTAATACCCAACCTGATCTCCCGATGCAGGTCTTGGGTCCTGTCATAGTCACCAAAAAGATCAGTGCTGCTCATTTTCTCTCTTTGTGAGAGCTGCCATGAGGCCTCCACTCAGCCTCCGCTTCTCTAAGCCAGACAAGCCAAATAACCTCAGATAATCCTTATACATATTACCCTCAAGACCCTTCACCTTTATAGCAAAAACACTAAGTAATAGCCTGAAGCAGTGATTGAGCACCTGGTGGGGAGGCAGGACCAACCCAAGGGAGCTCAGCTGCATGCAATGCCCCTGCGTGACTGGAAAAGCTAGAGCCAGGATCCACCCCTTCCAGACCTCATTTAAGGGTTGGCAATGGAGGTGAAGGTGTCTTGCTGGAGCTTCCTATGTCCTTGAGGCTTTCTGAAGGTAAGCAGCTTCTTTTCTGTATATTTGTGTCTACAGCTGTTGTATTTCAGGAGCCCTCGCTTGCTGTAGCCTACAATCTTGCTGCTCTGCTATTATTGCTGTGCTTTTTGTTGTATTACAACCATCTTTGTGTACAGACCAAAGTTTGTAGGAGCTGGCTGAATGTTGAGCCAAACTTTGTTCCAAGCAGCAGAAGGTTGGCCCATCACCAGGTGATGGTGCAGCAGAGGGAGGAACTGTCAAAGGAAGATACAAGTGAGGTAGCAGCCATTCAAACCTAGTTTTCCAAAGTTACAAATGATGGTACCTGTTGGGAAGAATTCCTCTGGATCTTGCATTATACAGACTCCTGCAAGCCCTCAAACCTTGTATCTGTTCATTGGTGCACTTACTGTCTCCATCCACAATTAGTGTTCATATGGGCCTTTTCTTTTGCACCGTGTTGGGTCTTTGTGATTTTTTTTTTTTTTCTTTTTCTTCAGTTGTGAACACAAACATAGCAGTGCTTGTACAGCTGAAGCTACTCATCCTCTTAGTGCTGTGGATTTCTGTTGCTGCTTTTTCCCATTGCAGATTACATCTGTATGGTGGGGCAAGCATCTTGTTGCATAGGTTGTACTTTGATACGTATGTGGTGTAGAGAAGCATCAGAAGGCTTAAGGTCTGCTTAATGCAGCACCAGAAGAGCCTCTTTGGAAGGGAGGTTTCTTTGAGATGAGACTGTAAAGAGTTAGGTAGCATCTTGAAAGCAAAACTTTGCTTAAAAACTGGAGGAATCTCTTGCTTCGTGTCTCACCCACAACTTGAGGAGATCTCAGAATCAGAGAAACATCAAGGTTGGAGAAGACCTGCAAGATCATCCAGTCCAACAATACACCCATCACTAATGGTTCTCACTAAACTGTGTCCCTCAACACAACGTCCAAATGTTCCTCCTTGAACATCTCTAAGGTTGGTGACTCCACCACCTCCCTGGGCAGCCCATTCCAGTACCTGACTACTCTTTTGGAGAAGTAGTATTTCCTAACATCCAGCCCAAATCTCCCCTGGTGCAGCTTGAAGGCATTCCCCCTAGTCCTAATTTCAGCTCTTGCCTCAGGCCTATCCAGCAGGTGCTCAGGAAGAAGATGAGGAGAAAGAAAAGGCTAAGAATGAAAGGGAGGAGATATGTGGCTCGTGGGTAGGTGATACTGTGAGTCACAGGAGGGAAGAAGCAGAGCAAGGTTGAGTAAAGCATTGTCTATAATCAGGTGCAGCCTATACAAAAGAGATGGAATGGGGCCCTCACATAACATGAGATGTGATAGGGTGCAGTAATACGAGGTGTGATGTCACCTAGCCAGTCCTTCAGTAGTCCTGTAACTTCTGCTCTGAAGGACTCCAAGGCCTAGCTGAAATCCCTGCCTTGTTTTTGTTTTGTTTTTTTTTTCGCCTGAATATCAATCACCAGGGCCCATACAGACTGTGTGGCTGTGGTGGAGGTGGATGCCCTAATGCATCAACAGTCCCATCAGCAGTGAGGAGAGACTGCTTGCATGGCTGTAGGGAGAAATGCCAAAGTTCTGGAAAACACCAATAAAACATACTCATCTGAGGAAGCTCAAGATGGTGACTGTGAATCATCACCTAAACTCTATTCAGCTCTGTTATAAGAAAATGTCTCCTCTGATTAGGACATCTCTCTGTCAGCTATTGCACATATGTCTCATCCAACATCCTCCTACGTTTGGAATATCCTGTGCAGGCAAATGAGTTGGCAGCCTCGTCGAGGCAGTGACAGAGGATTTAGAAGACAACATTGTGTGTGACCATGCTGACAACAGCCTTGCCCAGTGTGAAGCAAGCGCCCACCAGCCACAAGGACCCCGGTGCAAGCAGGTTCCTATGAAAGCATGGCCCCTGGGGCTCAGAAACAGTGTAGGTGGTGTGCCAACATTGGCAGTACTTTGTGAGGTTGTGTAACCTCCTGTCTCCTGGGACAATGTGTCTGGGTGAGTAAACTGCACTCTTTATAAGCTCCAAGACTTCTCTAATTAGAAGATATTTGGGTCCATTAGCAAATATTTCACATATTAAAGATCTGCTGGAGCCAATGCTTGTCCCTACAGGGCTGGCTGATTGGACTCTGTGTATTCGTTAGCAAATGCTGCATTTTGTCCAACTTGACAGTGCATTGTGTGATGCTGTCAATCAAATTTTCCCTCTGCACAAGCATGTTCAGCTTGACAAGCATATTTCCTTCTGTTTTAGTTACTGTCACTCTTCTGACCTATCATACTGGGAAATAGTATTTTTGTGAATACATCATAAGTCGTGTTATGGTGCTTCAAACATCCTGAGATGGGTAATAAAGACCATAGTGGGGTAAAAATGCTCTTCATTAATATC